GTAGTAGCGTGCACAGTCCATAGTACAGTAGCGTACACAGTAGTAGCAGCCGGTAGTACGGATGGTAGTGTATCGCGACCAGCGTCCAACAACTAACAGACACGTTGACGAAGAGAATATGTAAAAGCTGCAGCGCAGTCTTTCCCCAAACGCGTCGCGCCTCGAAAAGCGAGTGACGTCTGCGCAAAGCCACGTGCGGGGCGGGCGGGAGATGCTTGGCAGCATGGAGGCAGCACGGAGGCAGCATGGAGGCAGCATGGACGGCGCCGCGTCGCAAGGGACGATGGCGGCTCGGCAAGCATGGAGGCGTGTCGCGATCGCGGCTCGGCAGCATGGAAGCCAAGCATGGAGCGCCCCGCGTCGCACGGCGACGATCGCGGCTCGCCGCGCTGGCAGCATGGAGCTTGCACGCGGCGCCGCGTGTAACCTGTAACCCCCGCGCCGGGCAGGTGAGCGTGCGCGGCCCTCTCCCCTGCGCGGCGAAAAGCCGCCCGTTTTCTCCGCGCCCCGCCTCCATAACAGTGCAACAGGCGCGACGCCTCCATAACATGCGCGTCGCCCGCCCGCCCGCCGCGCGCCAATCACGGCGCGCGCCCCGGCCATCTCCAAATTTCCGCGCCACCGCACCGCAGGCCCGCGCCGTGCGCCGCACCTATCATAAACATTTACGCCGTGCCTCCCCCGCCCTGGATCGCGCCAATCGCAGCGCCCGCACGATTCCCACCTTGTTTTTGACATTCGTATCGGGGGCACGGCGCATGCGGCATATGATCAGAAAGACCCACTCGCGTCCGGCTGCAGCACTCTGCCAACGTCATTGAAACCCGTCCCGCCACTCATGACGTGGCCGCCACCACGCCCCCCGGGTTGCCCCCCACCCCCGGGTTCTCCTTGGTTGTAAATAAAGTTTTTTATCATACGCGATATGCACCGTGATTTTAATACAATTCTCAATAAACTTAATTACAGTAGGGGCAAACCACCCGCACTCACCAGGCAAGCAACGGCCGCCCGCACGCCATCCCAGCGCTGTTGCAACAACTTGGACGCCTCTTCGGCCGCCTGCTGTAAGCCCGAACATTATACTGTTGTGGGAACCAGCTCAGACATGCTGGTGTCGCGCGCAGTGTAGGAGCAGTTCTGTCCTTGGTGGCGAGTACGGAAGGCACAAAAGCCCGAGTATGCTACTCTCTGCACTGTATTTGCTCTTCACCTCCGCTCTCGCTCTGCCTCCTTCCCTCCGGTGCTTCCGGTGTCTCTATCGCTCCATATACATCACTATCTAGGAGAACAGCATGTCGCTCCTGCATTCAATTACCATTCTCGCTTACAATGGTCGACAATGCAATTGTCGGCTTTTCGCTACAACTCGTAGACGTGAATTAAAACCCCATGCATGGGGATTGCTTTGCACCCTTTGGTCCTTTGCGCCCCTGGCCTCGATTAATCAATTCGTACCTCATGCATCCAACTACTACTATCCCATTCAATCCTGTCATGCTCTGCATGCTGCAAACCTGTACACGTTGCACAAATTGACACACACCCCCCAGTCGACTGCGATCTGCTGTTTTCGATCGCTGTCGACTCACCCTGCCAACCTCGATCTTGGCACAACCTTTTTTGCATTGAACAATTTCGATACTTCGGCTTGGTTATCAGGTACTCGTCCAATTCGTGCACGTCCCTTTTACTTCCAGGTAGCGCTATCCACAGCATATCCCAAGGAGAGATCGGGGGTTAGCCTGCCACTGGCGCACATATCGTTGAGATTTTTGTAAAGCTTGAGGTTTCTTTTTGTTAGCGCATCAGAGACATTCTCTGTTCCTGGTACCCAGCAGAGTACGTCGAGCTCGCCTGACTCGAAGCTATTTCTTCTGCGTTGAACTGTTTGCCTCAAGCGGTATTCAGTACTTTCGTGCAGAGTTGTGACGGTGTCTTTCAGAGCTTTAGAATCTATGGAGAACTCGTGACGTGTAGGACGTTTTGGGAATATGGAGTTGAGTGCCTCCTTGAGGTAGCACTTCTCGTTAACAAGATTGAGAGTATTGGTAAATTCCTTCACATCCAGACCGATAAGTAGCGGGGAGTTGCCTTCTACCAGATGGAATATGAACGACGTCGGATTGTTACGTGTATGCATCACAGTAAGTATCCAAGAAGCTACGATTGGCTTGGCGTTGATGCACTCGTTGACCCAGCCAAGGGACTGGTTGCTAAGTGGGGGATCGAGATTGAGTCTTTTCCCAAGAGTATCGCAGAGGTAAGTAGCATCGTCAAAGCCACCCCATGAAGTAGGGGCTCCTTCATCTAGAATCGGATTGGGGTCAGCGCAGAGCTTCGCTAACACCTTTACTGAAAATATTGACTGCTATGTTTAAAAGCGTCATTATTCACTGAGTCCGTATCGAATCGTATACGCTTAGGGTCTCTGCGGGTCTTGCATTCGGGGACATTTTCCAGTGGCCGAGTTCACCGCAGTCTACGTATCGCGTATTGCTTTCGGGACCTGTAATGGCGAGGATTCGTGCTTTGAACGTAAATCGCGGACTGGATGGCTCGCCGGGGGACTGACATTGCAACCTTGATAGGAGTGGCGCTTCGTCATCATCGTGCTGGAACGTCCTCCGTCATGGCGGCCAGCGTTGTTATAAGCTGAGACTGCAGGTGTGTGTGGTGGTGGTTTCAGATTTCTTGCGTGATGTCCTGAGACTTCACATCTTTCAAAGCGGCTACTGCCTCATTCAAGCAAATAGCATATGGGGACCTTTCTTCTGTATCATAGCGAAATTTGTTCGTCTTTGCGCTCGTGATATTGAGTTTGTGCGCATCCCATAATTCCTGGACCTTCTTAGAGGCAATAGCTAGCTGTTCGTTGGAAACTTGATGCGTGTGGGACTTTTTCCAAATCTGGAAATTTCGACATTAATGTCGATGGCATTCTCAAAACTATTCTCAATTGCTGCAAACTTTTCTTTAGTACTTTTGAAGTACTTGACGGTCAACCAACTCTTATGTTTTGCTTCCGCGATAAGGATACTGACAATGTTATTGAAGGTGGAGGATGGTAAGTTGGCGTTCTCGAGGAGGAGCATCGCAAAATTTTAGCTATCTTGAGATGTATCACCGGCATAGCAGTGATTAAGATACGTCTGGGCAACACCATGAAAGGGCGAAAGTGCGCGCAGACACCTAAGGACGTACTGTTTATGACTCTAGCAGTTCTGAAGCATGGGTGTGCTTGGGACTTTTTGGCAAGGATGTTTGGCCAGAAAACGTCTGCTTTCGAGAAGATGGTGCTTAAGTTCATACAGGTTCTATCTGAAGCTGTTTGTGATCACTACGTCCCAACCAGACAAAGACATGGTCAATGAAAGGACTACAAGCAAATAAGCACGTTTTTAAAAACTACCCCATGGCACGCTACGCGACGGATGTCACATTTCAGCCTGCTGTCAGGCCATCCGGTAGTGTAGAAGAGGGAAAGCGGTACTACAGTGGAAAACACAAGTTATACGGATACAAAGTCGAAGTGTCAGTCACGCCAAATGGGTTTGCTGTAGGTTCCAGCATGCATGAGCCAGGGTCGGTTTCGGATCTCGTTATATTTCAAAACATGCAGTGGTTTCATCGGCGCACCCAGCACAAGAAGACTGATGAATTGGAAATCGTGGACAACGGGCCGCTGGCAGAGAGATATCCTAATCAATGCGCTATTACGGCGGATAAACGCTATCAAGGGGCTGGCGAGTTTTGCCGAATAATTCACCCCAACCGTAAACCTCAAGGTGCATTTCTGTCACCTGCGGACGTGTCGACTAACAAGTTCATATCGAGTGACGATATTCTGGTAGAGAATTATTTTGGGCGTCTATGTTTGCTTCGGAATGTGCTGGGGTCTAAGTGGAAGTGGTCAGAATCAAACTATGACTCAATTTTTCTTCTGTGTCTGGGTCTGACCAATTTTCACATACGGTGGAAGCCGCTTCGTGATGACGACATGATTTTATATCAGCAGCTAACTAATAGATGGTATCATATTGGGAACTCGCAATTGGAACGGCGTCGACGGATACAGAAGCGCTATCGTCAGAAACGAGCAGACTTTGTGGAACGACGGTTTCGTGCGGAAGGTGTTCGGGAGCTGTTTGGACGGGAGCACAGCGAAAGCATGTAGGGGCAGCGAAAGGATACTGTAATTGGGTAAAAGTATCATTTTTGCAATTGATTTTGGCGCATTGCTGTAGAGGCCCTTGAGTTTGCTGTTGCTGTTCATTACAGCGTGTTTCGGATCACCAACAAAACGACCGAGACATCCCGCAGTCGCCCCTGTTCTGCGCATTTCCCCGGCATTTGCGTTGGAGACCTAATGGTCGACAATGCAATTGTCGGCTTTTCGCTACAACTCGTAGACGTGAATTAAAACCCCATGCATGGGGATTGCTTTGCACCCTTTGGTCCTTTGCGCCCCTTGCCTCGATTAATCAATTCGTACCTCATGCATCCAACTACTTGTACAGTACTACTATCCCATTCAGGGCGTGTCTTAACAGGCTGGTTTTTGCTTTGCCTTGCCCGGTTTTGCCAGGAATACTTTTAAATTCTTAACAAATACCGTATGCTTCTTAAGCCGTTGCTTTTCTTAAACACATAAATTAAAACGTAGGAGCCACTCATAGCACGCCAAGTCACTTCTTTGGGCAAGGCAAAGCAAACCGCAGCAAAACGGGGCATGTTAAGACACACCCTCAATCCTGTCATGCTCTGTATGCTGCAAACCTGTACACGTTGCACAAATTGACACAACTGTACACTGTATGGTATCTAAATCATAAATGAGCACACAGCTCATTTACAGTCAGGTACA